TTGGGAAAAGGGGGGGGGGGGGGAAACGCTCCCCCCCCCCCCCCGGTTCCTACGGCCCTGTTATAAGCTTAAAGCTTTCTGTACTCCAGTACTTCAAGCAAGTATTCAAGCAAGCAAGTAAATACAGTAGAAAAATCTTATACTGTAATACAAATAGCATCTAAACTAAAGAGGGCGCTAGACAAGTATTTTCGCTTGTCATAGAATCGTCGCGGTATCTGAAATACTGTGAGTCTTCCAAAAATAAAATAATATTTTCAAACTAAAACTAATTGAAAAAGAATCATATTAAAATTAGCAATAATTATGTTAGGCTACATTAAACAGAAGATATCATAAATCTAATTTTTAATTAAATTTTAAGATGAATATTCTTTTAAAAGGATTTTAAAATAAGATACTGTAATTTTTAAGTTAACGTTTATTACTTTTCAAGACAAAGATGTTAACTAAGTTAAATTTTATGCACTTTTTAATGCTCTTTTGAACAATTAAAAATAGATACATAATGATATATTAATATAGGTTTATAAGAAACAAGATGTGTATATTCGTTATAGGCCTAATTCATTTATAATACTGCTCGGAATATATATATATATATATATATATATATATATATATATATATATATAGCATAAACCATCTTAATTTCTAGCAAAATTGAAATTATAAGTAGAGATAGGGCCGTATTGATAAAAATCTTTGTACTCTAGAATGATCATATGCCTATTTGCCAATTAAATAAGACTATATTAGATATAGTTTTTTTTTTAATTAATCGCTCTTTTAAATATTTTTTGTAAAACTACAATCCAATCATTTATGGATTATGCCCCTAGTTTTTAATTAATTTATTTGAAGGGCCAAATTATTTTTACAGTTGATCTTGCGGGCCAAAAGATAATCTCAAATTTTGTAAGCAACTTCTTATACTATATGAAAAATCATTACAAAACAAAAGTGGTGGAGCCAAGATTTGCCCGATGGCAGGGGAGGGGCGATGTCCCAGAACCTCTAAAGGGGACCAGGGGCGCCCAGGGCCCTAAAGCCCTGAAAATGTAGAGATTTCGAATGTTCGCACGGCCTCATATTCTGTAAAAGCAACATAGATTATTTTTTCCCTCCCAAACGTATTGTGTTGATTCTCTGTCGATTGGGAGGGCGGGCCGACTCTCTCTGACCCCAACTGGAACCATCATTTAATATCAAAAATATATATATTCATCAAATTATTATTACATGTAAAACAATTTAAAAATTATTTTAATATTACAAAACTGTGGGGATTAATTAATTTAAATTATTGTGGGATTGATCTTTTACAAAGTAACTGGAGATTTCTTTATGAACTTAAAAATACGCCCCAGTATGTATAATTGCACATCAAAAGAATTGATTGATATTGTATTTAAAATTTTCTTAACATAAATAATTAAAGTAGAGAAATACGTTTTTCTATAAATTTATACGAATGGAGTCGGGAATAAATGATTTTCTGTACCTTAAATGTTGGAAATTGCAATCTAAAACCAGACCTACTAACTACGTAATTGTTAACCACGAAATATTTAATTTCTGTTACCATGCCTTTATCAATTAAATGTGAAGTCAATGGATCTGACTATCAATATGTATGTTTCGGTATTCAAGCTGACAAAAACTCAAAAGCTGTTATGTTTGATCTGAAAGTTAATTGTGTCCCAACAAGTCGTTCGAACCTATCGAATACAAAATACAAGAAACTACATAACTCAAGATGCTCAAACTTTTTAACGCGATAACACAGACTAGCGTAATTATAATTAATTAATTCTCAATACTTTTAACTCATAAGATGTGTATAAGAGACAGGGTAAAGATCATCATAGAAAGCAGCATCCACAAGATCGACATTGGCTAGGAACCATCCCTCTCCAGCTTTCCCATTTCGACTCCAAATAAAACGATTGTAATGCTCAGATATATATCGTTTTTGCCAAGCGAGCCGATAGCTGTCTCTTATACACATCTAGATGTGTATAAGAGACAGACCAAATACTGCATAAATTTTAGTCTTCTCGCATGTCCTCCTCGATCATTCCATGGTCCTCCAGGAGCTATTTTAGAGGATCTTCCAATTAATAGGTCGTTCGGACAAAGATATTTCCCCTGTCTCTTATACACATCTAGATGTAAGTTTATTGTGTCCCAACAAGTCGTTCGAACCTATCGAATACAAAATACAAGAAACTACATAACTCAAGATGCTCAAACTTTTTAACGCGATAATACAGACTAGCGTAATTATAATTAAATAATTCTCAATACTTTTAACTCATATAATCAGTACTTAAACTCACACTTTTTGACATCCAAGATTCAAATTACAGCTCAACTCAACTCGGTATACTCTACTCAGATGACAGCCTGAATGTCGAAATATCAATTAACCTAATGACAAATACAATGATGTTTAACTTACCGGTTGAACTGCTCAATACTCATAGAACAACCGTGTTAACTTTCTCAAATAACTAAATTACACTACAGAATTCTCGAACGCTTCTCTCTCTACGAAAAATAATTTGC